GGGGACGGGGGTGGCCCCGTTGGATAGGGCCTCTCGAGGCCTACAGACGACCCGAGTTTGACATTTTTTCGCCGTGTGGTTTTCGAGATATTCGGGGAAAACTAAAATTTCCCATTCGTTCAGTGGGTCTGGCTGTCACCCATGTCTCCAAGGGGACTTCCAGGACCACGGGGGCCACCTGGCCGTGCCCGAGGACGGTGAACCTTCCTCGGCGTGTCACCAGAGCGTCTGGGGCCCTGGAAGTCCCCACCCACTGCAGGTTTTGGACTCTGAGGAATTTTCAGACCTCGAAAAGGGCCCCCGACTTTGAACGGCCGTAACTCGGGGACCCGGGCGAGTTGGACCTCGGGGGTGGGCTCATTCGAAAGGCCCCGTCCAGCACTACCATCGATTAGAGTTTGGGGAATATTGAGCGAGGGGTTCTCGAGATGTAAGCCGAAAAAGCTGCGCCTTTGACCGGACGTAACTCCCTGACCCCGAGGCCCTCGGGGACGGGGGTGGCACCGTTGGATAGGGCCCCTCGAGACCTACAGACGACCCGAGTTTGAATTGTTTTCGCCGTGTGGTTTTCGAGATATTCGGGGAAAACTAAAATTTCCCATTCGTTCAGTGGATTTGCCGCTCACCCATGTCTCCAAGGGGACTTCCAGGACCACGGGGGCCACCTGGCCGTGCCCGAGGACGGTGAACCTTCCTCGGCGTGCCACCAGAGCGTCTGGGGCCCTGGAAGTCCCCACCCACTGCAGGTTTTGGACTCTGAGGAATTTTCAGACCTCGAAAAGGGCCCCCGACTTTGAACGGCCGTAACTCGGGGACCCGGGCGAGTTGGACCTCGGGGGTGGGCTCATTCGAAAGGCCCCGTCCAGCACTACCATCGATTAGAGTTTGGGGAATATTGAGCGAGGGGTTCTCGAGATATAAGCCGAAAAAGCCGCGCCTTTGACCGGACGTAACTCCCTGACCCAGAGGCCCTCGGGGACGGGGGTGGCACCGATGGATAGGGCTCCTCGAGTCCTACAGACGACCCGAGTTTGACATTTTTTCGCCGTGTGGTTCTCGAGATATTCGGGGAAAACGAAATCCACATTCAGCTCTCTGGTCGTTCTCTACCTTAAGAGAGTCAGAGTTAGTCCCGACTTTCCCCTTCCGGGGCCGCCTGGCCGTCCCCGAGGACGGTGAACCTTCCTCGGCGTGCCACCAGAGCCTCTGGGGCCCTGGAAGTCCCCACCCACTGCAGGTTTTGGACTCTGAGGAATTTTCGGACCTCAAAAGGGCCCCGACTTTGAACGGCCGTAACTCCGGGACCCGGCCGCCCAGAGACACCAGACTCGGGTCAAAGTAGGGTCTGGGTGGGCCCCTCACAACAAGCCAACCCCCGAGCTCCGGGGCCCCCGGGTCCCGGAGAAAATGGGCCCAACGGGACGGGGCGCACCTCGGAAGGAAAGGTCCCAGGGGCCCGGGGAGGTGGGGTCCGAGAGGGCCCGGGGGGAGCCCCCGACACCCGAAAGGGCGAGCCGCTGGGACCTCCCCTTTCCGAGATACGGGTCGTTTTGTCCAAAAGTCCCTCGCGCGTAACCGGGCCTATCTCGGGAACCGAAGGGCCCAGCGGCTCGGGACGGCGGGTGCCAGGGCTACCCTAGGGGACCCTACATCTCCCGCCGTCCCGAGCCACGGGGACCTTCCGGTCCCGAGATACGGCCACTTCCTGTCCAGCTTTGACCGGGCGTAACTCGGAGAGGAAGCCGAGTTGGAGCTCCATACTCTGGGCGTTGGGGGACCTCTAAGGGACACCCCCAGCCCGGGTGTATGGAGCCCCAACTCGGCTCGGTTCCAGAGATACGGTCACTTCCTGTCCAGCTTCGACCGGCCGTATCTCGAAAAGTAAGCCGAGTTGGAGCTCCATACTCTGGGTGTTTGGGGACCTCTAGGAGACCCCCCCACACCGGGTGTATGGAGCCCCAACTCGGCTTGGTTCCAGAGATATTCCTGTTTGAAATCTCAACTTTGACCGGATGTAACTCGAAAAATAAGCCGAGTTGGGGAGCGAGACTCTGGGTGTTGGGGGACCTCTAGGAGACCCCCCCACACCGGGTGTATGGAGCCCCAACTCGGCTGGGTTCCAGAGATATGCCTGTTTGAAATCTCAACTTTGACCGGATGTAACTCGAAAAATAAGCCGAGTTGGGGAGCGAGACTCTGGGTGTTGGGGGACCTCTAGGAGACCCCCCCACACCGGGTGTATGGAGCCCCAACTCGGCTGGGTTCCAGAGATATGCCTGTTTGAAATCTCAACTTTGACCGGATGTGACTCGAAAAATAAGCCGAGTTGGGGAGCGAGACTCTGGGTGTTGGGGGACCTCTAGGACACCCCCCCACACCGGGTGTATGGAGCCCCAACTCGGCTGGGTTCCAGAGATATGCCTGTTTGAAATCTCAACTTTGACCGGATGTGACTCGAAAAATAAGCCGAGTTGGGGAGCGAGACTCTGGGTGTTGGGGGACCTCTAGGAGACCCCCCCACACCGGGTGTATGGCGCCCCAACTCGGCTGGGTTCCAGAGATATGCCTCTTTGAAATCTCAACTTTGACCGGATGTAACTCGAAAAATAAGCCGAGTTGGGGCTCCATACTCCGGGCACAGGGGGACCTCTAGGAGACCCCACCACACCGGGTGTATGGCGCCCCAACTCGGCTTGGTTCCAGAGATATGCCTGTTTGAAATCTCAACTTTGACCGGATGTAACTCGAAAAATAAGCCGAGTTGGGGCTCCATACTCCGGGCACAGGGGGACCTCTAGGAGACCCCACCACACCGGGTGTATGGCGCCCCAACTCGGCTTGGTTCCAGAGATATGCCTGTTTGAAATCTCAACTTTGACCGGATGTAACTCGAAAAATAAGCCGAGTTGGGGCTCCATACTCCGGGCACAGGGGGACCTCTAGGAGACCCCACCACACCGGGTGTATGGCGCCCCAACTCGGCTTGGTTCCAGAGATATGCCTGTTTGAAATCTCAACTTTGACCGGATGTAACTCGAAAAATAAGCCGAGTTGGGGCTCCATACTCCGGGCACAGGGGGACCTCTAGGAGACCCCACCACACCGGGTGTATGGCGCCCCAACTCGGCTTGGTTCCAGAGATATGCCTGTTTGAAATCTCAACTTTGACCGGATGTAACTCGAAAAATAAGCCGAGTTGGGGCTCCATACTCCGGGCACAGGGGGACCTCTAGGAGACCCCACCACACCGGGTGTATGGCGCCCCAACTCGGCTTGGTTCCAGAGATATGCCTGTTTGAAATCTCAACTTTGACCGGATGTAACTCGAAAAATAAGCCGAGTTGGGGCTCCATACTCCGGGCACAGGGGGACCTCTAGGAGACCCCACCACACCGGGTGTATGGCGCCCCAACTCGGCTTGGTTCCAGAGATATGTCTCTTTGAAGTTTCAACTTTGACCCTGTGTATCCAAAAAAATAAGCCGAGTTGGGCCTCCACACTCTGGGCCTGGGGGTACCACTAGGAGACCCCCCTGTGCCCAGAGGATGGAGCCCAAACTCGGCTTGGTTCCAGAGATATGCCTGTTTGAAATCTCAACTTTGACCCGGTGTATCCAAAAAAAAAAGCCGAGTTGGGGCTCCAAACTCCGGGCACAGGGGGACCACTAGGAGACCCCCCTGTGCCCAGAGGATGGAGCCCCAACTCGGCTTCATCACTGAGATACACCAGTTCACTGGTTCCCCACTACCTTAAGAGAGTCATAGTTACTCCCACCTTTTACCCGACTCTGGGAACCGGGACTTTGGGCCTGGGGGAGACCCACGGTCCGCCCCCCTACCGCGTCGAGGGAACCAGGGGCCCGGCCGTGGACCCACACCGCGCCGACCCCTCCGCCCGACTCGGAGAACCAGAGCTCTGGCCAGGGACCCCCACCGAGGTCCACCCTCTGCCCGACTCGGAGATCCAGAGCTCCAGCACAGCCCTGGCCTCCACCCTCACCCGAGCACCAGCCGAACCCGGGGGTCCCACACTTAAGCCCGGGTACTATTTCCCAGCC